CGTGCCCATCCCCCATCATTAAATTTAACGTTTCTATTCCTTTGGATCTAAAGTACGGAGGCGATTTGGTTTCAAGGAAGAGTAATCGAATAATTTCTGTGGGCATTTAGATCCTCAGTATTTTTACTTAGCAGCAATGTGCCACCTTTATATTTGCCTGTTCTATGCTCAATATGGTTATATACACGGGAATGAGGCTGCAATCTTATTCCCGTGCAATCCAGAATAAGTCTCATTCAATCTTATGCCAGAGTAAAACTGTGAAGAATCGGGCTGTTCCTTTGTCTGATTCCTTGCCCTGTGTCGGCTCTATAGGTCCCAGAAAAGGGAAGCTTAATAGAATGGATTTGCATTTCGAGGATCTCATGCAATAGTATTCAGACAGGATATATACTAGCAAAATAGTAAATCATATTTTAAAATTTAGTTAGCTGTCAAGAACTTTTATGAACACGGGTCTCGATCATTTGGAGAGTTTTCCTTTTTTTCTTTTTTTCTCCCTCTTGAGCCTGGCACACAATTTTTACTTAGTGGGGGAGGGGGGGAATGAAGTTGAGCCCTCAGATCTATTGCAAGGACTACTTTCTTCAGACACTTTACACACCTCCCCGACTTTCTTCTCGACCGGATCAAATCTACCTTAATCCTTTACCACCTCTTTTCCCTACTTACCTTCATGGGAATTCAGAGGAAATACTCTGCAAGGGAGATATTTTGTTGCATCTGGCTACATTCTTTATACTTTATACTTCAAAGGACACGACTGATTCTAGCCTTCTCCCGCACCTACACAACAGGCCTAAAGAGTGATTTCAGCAAGGGGAGGTTCATAACGTTATGAACTTCTTTCTTTTTCAAAAAGATTCTGTGGTTCCTATTATCCTAACTAATATGGAAACATGTTTTGTGGTCTTGAAGCCTAAGGAAATTAATTACTCCACAAGATTTCTCTGATTTTGAAATGGCTGCGGCAATGTTAAATGCATCAGTAAATCAGTGTATCCCTAGGTGGTCCGCTGCTGGCTACCTTCTCCCTACAGAAGAGAGAATAGCTTTCCTTCTCCATCCGTTAAAGGCAACATAACCTGCCTTTACCTGCCTCTGAAACTTTCTTCCATAAATAACTGGAGACATTTGGATTCTGCCATCCTCGTGGCCTACTAAGGTCAAAGAAACGGCGAGGAAGCAAATGGCAAATCAGAACTTCTCGTCTCAACTTAAAGAGTTTTGAGACCGCAGGCAAACTTAGGCACCCCCGGAAGCGAAGGCGCACTTCGACACCCCGGTTCCCTCTGAGAGTTTTGACCCGGTCGGGCTGTTGACAGGATCGGTCGATCTTCCGAATTGTTAGAGGCTGAATTCTGACACCCTTCGTTCTCTGGCACACGATTGGCCGGACAAGCGGAGTAGAAAGAGTCCCGAGTCTGAGCCCGACAGGACCACTTTGCCCAGGTGGCAAAGGGACCATCTGGGGATGGGAGAGTCTGATTAGCCTGCCCCTCTCAAGTGTGGGGGTAGGGGGAGCGCGCCCCTCCCCTGCCCGCCTTCCCCACGGGCAGCTCAACCAGCTTCATTCCGGAGACGGAGGACTCCCTGGAGGGCGACTTACCTTCCGGGAAGACGGCTCTCATTTTCAGGTAGCTTGTGGTGAGGCGGATGACGGAGGCCTTGTCCAGCTGGGAGGTGATGGCCGACGGCAGAGGCAGCAGCTTGGCCAGCTCGTAGAATTCGCCGTTCTCCTTTTCCCGCCGCGTCTTGGCGGCGTTCTTCGACTTCTCCTTCATCGCGGCTCCGGCAGGGCGACGGCCGGGGCGTCACTGGCATAATAGAGCCCCGGGCGGAGGCGACGGCGGCGATACTGGAGGGGTGACAGGCATGTGGACTTTGACTCGGGTCCACGGAGAGCCAACCAGCCAGCCAGCCGACGAGCGAGCGAGGGAGCGAGCAATGGAGGGAGGGAGGGATGGAGGGGCAGGTCCGGCTCCAGAGTCCGGACAAGCGACGGTGGCGCTGGCTTAGCTTGCGGGTCTCCTAACCACGAAGCAACAGCTCTGAATTGGACTGTCCGTGCAGTGGGTCGCCTTCGTCTCTCTCCCTGCCTGCTCTGGTCCAAAACCTTTGGCTGTCACCGGGGAAAGGGAATGGGGGAGTCGCCCTGGAGTCTCTTCCCCCCCCCTCTCTCCCCCCCCCCCCCTCGAGTTCAGATCTGAATCTGAAGCCAAAAACTGAAAAATCGAAGCACAGAAGCTCAGATCCCGTGCAACGCCCCCAGCCCCTCCGCCCCTCCCCCTCGCCTCAAATAGAGGAGCTCCTCTGATTCGACAATTGGCCGGCTCCCCTCCCTGCACAAGGGGCGACTTGGCGGCTTTATTTGGTTTGGACCTTTTCGGGCCAAACTGATTTCCGCCCCACCCGCTTCGGCGACGGCGAATCCGAAACTCTCGAGGGAGCCGGTTTTCCCAAGGCCGCGGCTCGCTCCGCTCCCACGGGGGATGCTGAGCGTTTCCTTCCACGGCAGGATCCGAGGCAACTCCAGGACCCACCGAGGAGCGCTTCTACTCAGCCGCCCGCCTCAAGGCAGGAGGGATTCCGGAGCCAAATCCGCTTCCCTCCCTCCCCCCCTCCCCACACCTCGCTGGCTTGGTCTCCGGTTCTGGGCCTGGCGGTCGAAGGCCCGGTTCCAGCGATTCCCCGCCAGAACAGCTCCTCCTCCTCCTCCTCCTCCTCCTCCGCTGGTTGGCAAAGAAGCTCCCAAGTGGCTGGCTCCTCAGCTCATTCCCCGCGGCAGGTTGGAAGAGACGAGGGGAGGGGAACACGCCTCGCGTGACGTGACTCTCCGCCAAAGGCAGCAGCCGTAGCAGGAGCCCCGCCGCTGCCTTCACCCGCTGACCAAAGGCTCCAGCCGGAGAAGGGGAAGGGGTGGGAGTAAGGGGAAAGAGAAGGGAGGGGCTCCTGGGTCCTTCTCGAGTGTGTGTGTGTGTGTGTTTTCTGCCACAACTTCCCGGAGAGCCAAACTGGCCGTTTCTGAGGCAGCCCTGGGACGCGACATCACCCCTCCCCCAGCTTTCTGGTCACCCTTCTTTCATTTCAAGTGCCTTTCCCGCGAAGAGCTCTATTGGCTTCACGCGCTCTTCTGGCGCGGCCTGAACTGGGTTGGAGAGGGATTTGCTGAGAGGAGGCCGGAGCCCTTGCCTTGGGTTTCAAGGGAAGGCGGGGTTTGGACCCAAGAGGGGCTCCTGCCATGGAGGCAGGGCCGGGGCCCGCATGGCTTGCCTCCGACGCTAGGAGCCTGGTGGTGCAGTGGAATAAACTACTGTTAAAGTAGTATGTAGCTGCCAGCTGCCTGCAATTACTGCGAGTTCAATTCTCACCAGGCTCAAGGTTAACTCAGCCTTCCATCCTTCCGAGGTAGGTAAAATGAGGACCCGGTTTGTGAGGGCAATAAGCTGACTTTGTATAAAATAGAACACCGCTTGGGGGGGACGGGACAAAAAGCCCTACTAAGCAGGTATATACAAAAGTATGAAGGCTATTGCTTAAAAAGCATTGTAAGCCGCCCTGAGACTCCGGAGAAGGGCGGCATATAAATCAAACTAATAAATAAATTATAGGTCAAACGCCCCACATTGCAAGGAAAGGCGGATGACCTCAGAAGCCCTTTCAGCCCCAGGCAGGCGGCCGCTTTTCGTGAAACCACCGAGAGACGGTTCCAGCAGAAGGCAGCCTCCAGTAAAGGTTTTCTTTCCTATAGAATTCTACCACCACAACAAAAATAAAAATAAGTGCTCGCTTCATTCGGAATATGAGTCCGATCCAATATGTAAGCAATTTAGTGGGATTTCTCTAGTGTTAAGTAAATGAGCTTGAACTCCGTCCGTCCGTCACCCCCTCCCCCCCAAACGACAATTTAGCGTCGTTTGCTTTGGGGTAAGGCCACTCTGGCATGCATTTCTCCAGCAGCCTGGGGACTTTTCCCTCTCAGAAAGTGCCCCTGGAGTGAACTGAATTGCCCTACCGGGCCACTCTTTTCACACTTTCTGAATTCATCAACTCAGGGCAATCTTTAGGAAAACGCCATTTAAGTCTGACGATTTTGGTTTCTTATGACTCCGAATTTGTTTAGGATGAGGCTGCCAAATCCCCTATTCACAGCTCTGGGGCGCATCAGAAGGGAGGGTCGAAATCATCCCTGCCTCTTTTCTTGGATTCATCTCTCCACCTCGTTTCACTGTATTGGGGCGGGTGGAGGGTAGTTTATAGTTTTTCTGCTTGAGGGGAGATGTTGGCAATAGCAGCAGTTAAAGCCTCACCTCTGCAGTAAGAGAAGCAGAGCCCAAGAGGCAGCAGGTTGGTCCAGCCGTGGTGAGGGCGGAGAAAGGTGAACCTATTTCATTTGAAAATGACCGCCTCTCCCTAAGTGCTTAACCAACATTTGAGACTGGACCCTTCCCCCCCCCGCCCCAAGGGCTCAAGCAGAGCATTCCAGAGGGGCTCCAAAGTGACGGAAAGGAGAAGAGAGGACGTTACCTCCAGCCTTTTCCAGGAGTCGGGCGGGGGCCGCTGCTGCCAAGAGGCTGAACCTGGCAAAGCCTCACTCGGCAGGCAGTGCCCGCAGGGCCGCCGACCGAGGCCTGTTGCACGGGTTCCCTCCCCACCCCCACCCCCACTTAAGTCGGAGAGAGTATTCTGTCTCTCCTTATCCCCGCAGCTCCGGAGAAGAGGTAGGCCGACGGAAGGCTGGAAAAGCCACCTTCCCCTTTTCACTGCACGGGAGACGGGCTGGGAACGGGGCAATCGCGGAGCAACTCTGGAGGTCGACGTTCAAGAGAGGAAGAGGGAATGTAGCCACTCGGGCGGCGGATCAACCGGTAGATTATACCTGGGGAGGGCAAGGCAAGGCAGGCTGGAGCAGGGCAGGGCATTGTCCTCTTCGGCCTTAGCTGAACAGGTTCCCTCCCTTCCGCCGGGTCCTTCGTGGTTCCTCCAGCTCAGCATGGAAGGGTTTCGCCCGTTTCCCAGCTCAGAGCAGAAGACTCAATTCCGACGGAAGGTCTTTCCTGCACCTGGGCTTTCCGCCCTAAGCAGCAGATCCAGCAAGGGGGGCAGAACTATTTCCTTGGTGAGTTGGCGGGGGAGATAGGAGGAGGTTATTCTGCCTGCAATGGGTCTGTAACTGGGGAAGCCCCGCTTTCCGGTTTGCCCCGGTCTCAAGACCTGGTCTAAACGTAGCCGTCTATCGCAGAGTGGTCACAAACCTCCGACCTTGCCGTAACCTTGCGCTACCTGATGTTCCTTGGCCTCAGCTCCACAGATTTGCCCCCCTTGGCTGCGGAATGGCGATGCAAACAAAGTGCATTTAAGTGCATCGGCTTCGATAAATTTGAGGCGGCTTATTCTTGGTTGACCTGTAAGCCTGACATTATGGGGAGAAGGATGTAAACTGCAGAGTTTATATTCGGAATTAAGTAGGGTTTTTTCCCCCTCTCTCCGGATTCCATCCCCTCAACCCGCCGCTGTTGCTGCAGTTGCATTTTCTGGGCCCGGGACGAGGGCTTCCCGTACCCCAAACAGTGGTGAAATCCCATTTTTTTTACTACCGGTTCTGTGGGCGTGGCTTGGTGGGCGTGGCAGAAGGATACTGCAAAATCTCCATTCCCACCCCACTCCAGGGAAAGGATACTGCAAAATCTCCATTACCATCCCACTCCTGGTGGAAGGATTTTGCAAAATTCCCATTCCCACCCCACTCTGGGGCCAGCCAGAGGCGGTATTTGCCGGTTCTCCGAACTGCTCAAAATTTCTGCTAACGGTTCTCCAGAACCTGTCAGAACCCGCTGGATTTCACCCCTGACCCCAACCTCCACTTTCGTGGAGGAAGATTTGGCAGATCATTTCAGCTGAAAGCTAGAGAACAAAACGGATCGAGTCTTGCTCTTCCTCGCCTAAAGAGATTTTGCTGGAAGTCGTGTCCCCCCCAGTGAGGCTGCCTTCCAAGAAGCGTGACTTGATGACCCTTGAAACGCCCCTCTTGGGTGTTACTAATCTCGTGCTGAAACTCCCGAGGAACCAAATGTCTTTAGTTCTTCTCAGCCGCCCTTGGTGGCTGTAGTAGACCTTCAGTCGGCAGTGAGGGCAGTAGGGACTAATAACTCCTCGAGGCTACAATAGAGAGGAAAATTCCTTTTCTATGCCCTCCACCTAAACCGGTCTCTCTTTCGTCCTCCCGCCACAATGGACTGTATTGTGTAATTAATGCGGCGTGAAAGGGGACGCTTGCATTACAGTCTTAGCGATGCATTGATACATTTGGAGTTGCCTGCGTCAAGAGTTGCAGGTTCCATTCTGTGGGCCTCTCTGAGAACAGCTCCTCCGTTTGAATCGCCTTGTAATTTGGTCTGACTGACCTCCACTCGTGTTAATGGTTAGCTATGAGTTTTCCTTGCTGTAGCTTTTATCTCTTCCCTAGTGGCTGCAATATCTCACCCATTGGGACCACTTGGAGCGGGAACCAGAGAGCTACTTTACTGGGGGACCATTAAGTTCATAAGGAGGGCCAACCAGCCTAAAAGTAGATTCTCAGTTCCAGTCCACCCCAGTCAGCCTTGGGAGAAAACACTCCAGCTGTAGAATTTGAGTGATTTTCCTCATTGGATTCCACCGGCTGACTGAGATAACTGCCCGATCTCCGAGTCCCGCGAGTGATTGGTCAATGTCATAGGACTCCAATGAAGTCTTATCCTGGGTCAGAACCCTCGATCTAAATAAAGCTCGATCATTTTGGAGCAGAACAAGATGGGAAGAAGCTTTGGGCTGTTTGTGTTTGGGGGGGGGGAACCTCGACGAAACCGGGTTCGTTCGCTTCCGACCGGCGACTCCTCGAAATGGCTTCCCACTTTCTCTTTTCATGGCAAGCCTTAAACTTTCTAACAGACAAGGCAGGGTGACTAAGGCTTCTCTCTCTTGTTTAATTTTCTGCAGGCACAACCGGGTCCAGAAACTGTTACTTCCAAGTTATGCGGAAGTAAAGCAGAGAAGAAGATTCACACTTGGAGATGAAATTGGGTGCTTGTGTTTGATCTGCCTTTTCTTCAGTTTTCGACAAATTAGAGTCTGAAATTAAGCTGATCTTGGTCAAGAGTCCTCAGACTCCTTCTTAAATAAAGCTGACTCTCTCTCTCTCTAGCCTTTTTTGTTTCTATGTCAGTATTTTCATACAAAGTACTGTACCAAAACCCTTTCAGAAACATCTTTTGGAAAAAGGCAAAAGAAGCTCTTCTACCTCCAAATTTAGAAAGTTAAGAAATTCACTGGAATCTAAGGACTAAAATAATCCCGAGTAATTTAAGGTGCCAAGTAGCGGGTTTGAATCCAACTCGGCCTATAAAGTAGTGTAAAAAGGATTTACAGCTCTGTAAATCTGAGTTACTCTGAAACAAACCTTAATCGAACAATGGTGTATAAAGGGATAGAGAGATAGCCAGAAGAAATATCTGGATCTAGGTTCTCCTATGTCCTTCCCACCCCCCAATCTCTTCTTTTTCCAGGAGATTATTACCCTATTCCAAACAATTCTCAGTAAATCTCCAGTTAGCTGAGAAATAATTCATTTCTATGCCATAACAAAATATTTATTTTAAAAGAAATCCTTTGTTATAGATTTCAATTATGGAACAGGAGAAAGTAAATTGGTTTCTAGTCAAAGAGAGTGTTAGGTTCCTGTTGGTTGCCTTAATCAAGCCAGAATGCTATGAATCAAACTGCCTTCATGCCGACCTAGTAACTGGATGGGGATCAGATTATGGACAGATTCTGGCTGAGATCGCTGGACCAGTTATTCTACAAAAGGAAGAAAAAGTGCATTTGAATATTCACCTGAATCTATGATACAATGTTAGGACCTTTTTCAAAAAGGACTTTTCTTACCCTGGTACGTTTTCCCATTTGCTCTGGTCAGCAGCTTCTATAAAAGCCAAACTGCACTTTTTCACATCCAGGTCGCCTCGGCTTCTGGCTTCCCGAGTAAACTCTTGGATCGCAACAATGTGTGCCTCCTTGGGTAGAAACAACCTAAAGGGAGATAGATGAGACAGAGGGATGTCCCAGTTTATTAAAATCTGTAGCTTGTTTAACAAATTAGACGTTCAATTAATATAAGCAGCTCTGATATGGACGGTACGTGGGTGGGTGGGTGGGTTTGTGTATAGCACTTCACACATTATGTGAACGGATCGGGACTTTTTCTCCTCTAACCAGATTCGGAACTCCAAACTTTCCTGAAAGTTGATGAGTCAGGCGAAATAGAAACCGAGGGGACCACTAACGTCACTAAGTGGATGGCTTTATAGGTTGCCTGGAATACACCTTGTGGAGAGTGGCTGCAGAGAAATATGGTGCAGGATCCGAAAGAATTTAAGCAAGATCTTAATCTCATTTTCAACCCCAATGGTCGTGTTTGCTCAAAAGCAATTCTTCCTATATCCAGCGTCCCTCCTGCCCGCCTTTCTGGCTATTTCTTCCCTATTAAATCTTCCAAAATTGGTGAATATGTTAGTCAAGAACCTGACAATTGCTAAGGAATTAAGCATTTTCTGCGGGAAGATGCCGTCGCCCTTCCATGCTAACACATCCACGTTGCACCCGCCGTCAAATTCTTGGCGCGCTCCGAGCGCTCACAGCCCTTCAGGTTTCCAGAGCCGTCGAGCTCGGAGCACGCCAGAGCCTTTGTCCCGGGCCACCCCGGCGCGGCGGAGGGGAAGGCGGCGTTAATCTCGTCAATATACGCAGCGGCAGGATGGCTGCTCCATTACAAATCGATCTGCGGCTTTCCGCTCTTGCTTTAGGGATGCCGGTTGCAGAATCCGCCTTGGAACAAACTTTGCCTGGAACGGTGAAAGTAGTTCGTTCTGGCGAGGGAAGAAAAAAGAGGAAAAAAAGGAAAAAGGGAGGCCTGCTTATCACTTATTACTCGCAAGTCATTTTTTCGTGTCTGGTTTTCGGACTCATGATCTTAAATTCTAGTTTAGGGCTTAAACTCTGATTTCTCAAAGAACGAGAAAATAAAAATTGCTGAAATACCCCCCAGCACTTGTGGCAGGATAATACATCCTCTACAGATCAGTTCAACTTGATGTTTATTATTAGAGGAGAAGAGAGTGGTCTGTCCTTGGGCTTCTTTGGGCACTCACTGGGCCACCCTTTTCAGGGTCCATATGGTTTTTTTTGGGGGGGGGCTTTCGTCTTACTCAACTGTTCACTTGGCTTCTAACCTGGAATCCTGCCAATTTTACTGTCTCTCAGATTAGGACCCAAACCCCTGTTTGCTTATGTGCTGATCAGGTGACCTCAGAGTGCGGACAGGATGCCTGGCCAGAAATAAATCCCAATGTAGGGATTTAGTTCTCCAGAAGTGAGGGGGAGGGGGAGAGGGAGGGGGAGGGAGGGAGGGGGAGAGAGAGAGAGAGAGAAAGGGAGAGGGAGGCGAAGAGAGAGAGGTGTCAACTTGAAATGTTTTTTTCTGCAATTTATCTGCAATCCAGGGCTGAAATCCAGCAGGTTCTGGAGAACCTGTAGCAGAGATTTTGGGTAGTTCGGAGAACTGGCAAATACCACCTCTGGCTGGCCCCAGAATGGGGTGGGAATGGAGATTTTGCAGTATCCTTCCCCTGCCATGCCCATCAAGCCACACCATGCCCACCAAGCCACGCCCACAGAACCGGTAGTAAAAAAAAAATTGGATTTCAGCACTGCTGCAATCTACTTGGGTGCCCACCGCTGTAGACAGGGAAAGTGACATTTAAGGCAACAACAACAACAACAATAACAACAACAAGATGTTACTAGAGAATGATTGGGTCATTCTCTAGTAATAAACCAGTTTGAACAGGTGCAAATCATTCTAAGAGGATCTCCCCACAGACATTCTAAGGAGATCTGCTTCTGGAAAGGAAGACCAATGAAAGACAAGTGGAAGTTGCCTTAGTGTGCATGTGTGTGGGGGTGGGTGGGTGGAGGAGATTGAACCTTTTTGTCCTGAACAAATGGTTAATAGGATGTTTTCATACTGTGCCAAGCAGAACCTGTCACTGAGCCGAGAATAATCCAGTAAGAAGGGCAGTCTTTACAATACAATCTATCTGACTAGTAGGGGTCTCTGTCTAGCAAAGGCTTTCTGGATCTCACTAATATAAAATAATTTTCCTGCCTTTGATTAAATGTGGTCATTAAATGTTTCCTTTACACTTTCCTATTAATAGGTAAGGAGGTGAAGGAGTCCCTGCACATTTTACTCTGCTAGTTGTTGCCGACTACAAGGGGCGGTGCTCATCACTGTTTCTTCCTATTAATATCTATGCATTAAACATCCTTTGTTAGACAGAAATTGCACCATTCTAATTATTTCACTTGTGTCTTAGTTTTCATAACATCAAGATAGCTTTCCAGGTGGATGGTTTTTGATGTTCTCCCTTTGGCTTCATAGTTTCAGTTGTAACATGCATTCCATGGGCAAGTCAGTCATACACTATTCCTGGATACTTTCTTTTATTCAACTCCTTTTCTTTAACAATCATCCAACATTTCTTACTATCTAGTATATTCAGTTCGCAATGGACATTCTTTTTTTTATCATGCTTTCCTTCCTGGGTGGTCTTGTCCACCTATTGCAAACTTTTCAAATTTCCCAAGACTGTTAATACTGCCATTTTGTCAGCGACTATATAAACTACTGTATATATAGGAATAAGTCAGCAATATTTATTTCTAATATACTTATTTATGTATAAATATGTATAATTTCTGATGCTTTGCATTCAGGATTCAAACAAGGTACTGACTTTCAAAAATTTACCAGTATTTGGAAATATAGTCTGTTATTTCTTTAAAATTTGGTGCAGAACAATAAGAGGATAGGATTATAATAAGGACATTTTCTTAGATATTATTGTCACACTCATTATTATAATTAATCATGTCAGAATCAAGTTTCAGTGACTATATGTCTGTCTGTCTGTCTGTCTGTCTGTCTGTCTGTCTGTCTGTCTATCTATCTATCTATCTATCTATCTATCTATCTATCTATCATTCTCCAGGATGATCTTCACTTCACCTGGCTGTTATAATCTTCTAATGGTGCACCCATCACCATTGTAATTTACTCCATGATATTGGTCATCCTTTTCTTCTCTTCTATATTTCCCAGCATTACAGATTTTTTTATGTACAAAATATGATAATTTGAGAATGGTGATTTGTGAGAACTCTGGACTGATTTCTTGTATGACCTATTTGTTTGTTTCTAGGCTAGCCACAATATTCTCAAGAGTCTTCTCCAATATCAAAATTCAAAAATGCCCTCTCTTGCTTCCTCTGAAGTTCAGATTTTATCTCCATTGTAGCTATTAGAAAATGCAAAGCTTTTGAAATATATACAGTGTAGAGCAATATTTTTGAAACCATATTCCACGATTTTTACTAATCCCTAAACTATACTCGTAGTAGTCTGCAACACTATGGTATTTCACATGTTGTGGCTTATATGGACCCTATCCTAAAATACAGAAATTTCTTCATGAAATAAAGAGCAAAATGTCTTTCTTCTCATAGTCTCAGCACAGAACTGAACCATTGAATCCTTCACCACGGTAGGCCACAGTATCCTGTACTCTGCCCAAATCAGCAATCTGGTTTAGGAGACCCAGGGCATATTTTTGCCCCTCAGCTTGGAGACACAGCTAGGAGCTGGCACTTAGCATTTGCTGGCTGTGACAGCCATCTTACTCTGCCTTACTCTAGTATGCATGCATAAAAAGAAAGAAAAAAATTCCAGAGGGTTGACTCTTTTCTGGAGTCTCTGGGGAAATCTTTCACACATGTAATTGATTTGAAAGCTATACTTCATAAGTAGCACAGTTCATCCCTCCCTTCTCCCCCAGCTCTTCTTTTGACCAATGCTCGTCTGTGACCTCTGGCACTGAGCCATCATGTGCAACTCACTAATGCTCAGGAAATTGCCAATCAGTTTCAGGGAGGCAGGTTGTTCTCCTGCCTCCTGAGGCAACAGTCTCTGGAGAGAAGGGGGAGGTAACCACTTTGTCTCTCTTTAAAATGTCACCGGGATTGTAGGAAAACAGGTAAGGCTTGCTTTGCAAAAGCTTGACAGAAACAACCCAAAGAGATAGAGA